GGGGCTGCGCAGGGTGGGCGGTGGTGCTAGCGGGGCGGCTACAGGCGGGGTGTGTTGATGGCGGGCTGCCCCCTGGGGCCGGAGCCAGCGCAGCTGGTGCTTTGGGAGCTGCGGGGCCCGCTGTACACAGCGAGGCAGCAGTGCTGGCGGGGCGGCTGCAGGCGGCGGCACGGCATGTAAGCATAATTACGATATAAAATTGTTACAAATGTTATTGTTACAAATGTTTTTTTTATTATGCATTTATCATAGTGTATTCTGTATTATTGTTGCAATGAATAAAATGTTTCTTTTATTTATGATTTTTTTTCTTCAATTTATTTGTGTCCTCCTTTTCATTGTAAAAAAGTTGGTCACCTTATAATAACATTCTTGTTTTTAAACTTGGTTATATTCTAGCTTATAGCATGAAAGATTCTTCCAAACAGGTAGAATCTATACAACTATACATTAAATCCAGAAAGAGCACTTGTTTGACTTAGCTGTCTTTCTCATCTGTTCCACATTCTTGGCCTAGTCCAGGGGTCTGCAACCTTGACAATTTTAAGACTTGTGGACTTCAGCTCCCAGAATTCCTTAGCAAGCTATGGGAATTCTGGCAGCTGAAGTCCACAAGTCTTAAAGTTGTCAAGGTTGCAGACCCCTGGACTAGGCCATGCTTACCTGTGGTGGTGGCAAGTGAGCTGTGACTAGAGGAGAACCAAGACAACATCCACACCAAGATACTAAGTTAAAACTGTTCCTTGGACTTTCTGTATCTGTAGTCTGTTTGTCTATCAGCATATAATACAATGCACCCAGGTGCTTTTGAAATCATTGCAATGATTTAGTCTTCATTTTTTAAAAAAATCTGTTTCCCTTTATAGCCTTTATAGCCAGGTTTTATGGTGCCTTACTTTTGTATGGTGGATTGGAAGGAGTTAGTCCTCACTGACTATTTGCATTTCAAGTGAAGTGCCTTTTGCTGGCAATGGAAACATAAATAGCAACTAGAAAGAGGATTTATTCCATTCCTTGGCACTATTTATATAGCAAAATCCATTATGATTCTCATAATCTTCTACAAGCTAAAGAGTAGATCTACTCACATTCCCCATAATAATAATAAAGATATTGCTTAACTCATCCAAAGTACACAGATAGATGGCTGTTCAGTCATTTTGTATTAAGTGTTCCATATTTTCCATCTAGTGACTTATTTGTTGTAATGCCAAGTAAACAAATGGAAAATAAATGATTCATTTTGTCTTTGAATTAAACCCTGTTATCCCACACATAGATTATACATACAAATCGAATATTGTAGGAAATGAAATTCCAGAATATAGCATTGTGATTTTATTCTTGCTGTGATATAAAAGTGGGCTAAGTATTCCCAAAGAATTAGAAAATGGATGTTTACAATTTAGAACCCCAAAAGAACTAAAATAAATTCTCTTTCATTCCTAGTTGCATGGAGGAATCAAGGACAGGATATTGAAGTACTGAATAAAACATATGCAGTGGCCACACCCTGGTAAACAGTCTTGGCAGACAGACCAAAGTTCGTCATATACATAGCAATTATTTATTTATTTCAATTACTTGAACTTTCAAGAGAAGCAATGGTGTAAAATTATCTCATAAAGCATAAAGGTCTATTAGAAGGGGAAAGCAACCGTTTATTTCTACCCTCAAGGTCAATATACTTTATTTAGCTATGTATTTATTAAACTTGCATATTGCTAATCTTAACAAAATGATTCATCTTGTTTTACAGCAAAAACCTAAAACATCCATGGTCACAGGAATAACAAATACAGCATCATTTCTCAACCTCAACAAGCAGGCTGAGGAATTTTGGGAGTTGAAAACTATATATCTCATGTTGTTGAAGCTGACAGTGAAATGGAGCCTTAAAACCTCCATGGTAGGTTTAAAAATATTCAAAACATTTAACAGATGAAATGAGAACAAGACTTCAGATGGAATCCATACACTAAGGAAAAGCTTTATGGAAAATTAGCAGTTCTTGAATATTGACAGGAAGATGAATCTGATGTCTATGGGAAGGCTATTCCAGGAGACCGAAGCTGAAACCAAAAAGCAGTGCTTCCTGATAGTAGCCCTATAATTTCTCACAAGAAGCAATAGTTTTTGTCCACATGATATTGTTGGTCAGGACAATTCTAGCTGGGAAACACAGTCCAGGAGATGACTACATGCCAACCCACAAGGGCTTTGGAAGTTTAAAACCAGAACATTAAAGTGTACCTGAAGATAAAAGTAGAACTCAAAATACATGTGCTGCCATCTGAACCATTTGTAGCTTTCTGAAGATCTGGTGAACTCTAGCCCCATCTTAAGCACAAAACCTGCTTGGTGACCTTGGGATAGTCACTCTCTCTTAGCCCCAGGAAGGAGGCAAGAGCAAACCACTTCTGAAATCTTGCCAGGAAAACTTGTCCAGACTGTTGTTAAGGGCCAAGATGACTTGAAGGCACAAATTGCATAGGCAGCCCCATGTACAGTAGCACCTTGGTATTCACTCTTAATTGGTTCCGGGAGGCACAACAAGTAGTAAAAAAGATGAGTACCAAACAAACCATGTGACTTATCATGACCCCTTTTTTCAGCTGGGAAGAAACCTTCCCAGAATGGCCTGCTTGCTCTGCAGCTGTCCCCTACTTCCTTTTGCAGTGACCTTCCCAGCCTGACCAATTTCCTCTCTGCCCTCTGTGGCTGTTTCCCACTTTCTTTTGCAGCACATTAAGTACCAAACAAATACTGAGTACCATGACAACATTTTCACATAAAAATGCATCAAGTACTACCAAACTTAAAGTATTTTGAAACAGCTGAGTACCAAGTTACTCCTGTATGGTATATTGCAGTAATCCAGTCTTGTAGTAACAAAAACATGAGGCACTGAAACCAGGTCCTCTGGTCCAGGTAAGTTGAAGTTTGGCAAAAGTACCCAAAGCCACAATTTCCATTTGTTAGTTTAACAGGAGCTATGAATCCAGGAAGATCCCAAAGTCAAAGGTCTGCAGGCCTGCTCTTTCAGATATCTTCCCCTCAAAAAACAAACAAACACCCACTAAAGGCATAGAACCCTGATGTATAAACAGTTACTTCAGTTTATTAGTTTTTAATACAAATCTGTTTTGTCCCACCCAGATTCTTACTGCCTCTAGACACTAGGAAAGGGTCTCTAGTCAGCCTAGGGTGATCATTTACAGGTGTCATTGGTGTATAATAAAACTACATTGGTTTATCCCATGGCTTCATGTCAATGTTAAAAACTTGGGGAGAGAGGATTGACCTCTATGGCACTTAATCACTGAGCAACTACAAGTGACCTCTCCTTTGCCTTGACTACCAATTGGAACCACCCCAGAGGAAGGGACAGAATCATGAGAAGGTGGTACCTAGAATCCCCAAACCGTAGGAAATCCAGAAAAATACCATGATTGACAGCATCAAATGTCTGTTGGTATAAGACAATGACCTTGGGAGATGGGGTGAAGAGATACTAATGGTCAATCAGATTAGAGAGAACATATGGAGCAACAGGTTAGGAAGGGACTTCCTTAAGTTCTTGGACTGTAAAGGTGAAAGCAGGAAATTGTATCTTCAGGCTTTTGTTAATGTAGTTTTACAATAAAGTAGAATTGTGTTGTCTGATTGTGTTTCCTATTCAGTCTGCCTGGTAAGGTTGACACCAATCTTGCAAATCTGAAAGTCAGTAATTTGTGAATGAATGTCATCTTCCTGCAGACAGACCTGGCATTTACTATTAACACTTTGAAGTCTTATACATTATGTTAGAAAACCATTTACATTAACTGCATATGTAGGAAAACATAATCTGCAAATAAGAATTAACAGGTCATTTTAAAAAGTATCATTCTATTTTCGGGTGATCAGTAAGAATACAAGACTTACCTTAAGTAAAGTACTTCAACTGTCTAAATAATTTACCCATACTGTTTTCCATCCAATTAGTTTGTTAATTATCATAAGATCCTACAAATGTATTTCTCTGTGAAGTGGTGTAAGAAAGAGGAACAAACCCCTCCTTTTGGCAGTTTTTGATTTTTTAAAAAATAAATGTATAATCATTTATCTTCAAAAACAACTTTCATTTATGACTTTTTCTTCTTTTTATAATCCTGTAATCCCTTGCTTCAGGGTGGGGTCCAGGTGACTGAATGGAACTAAGCATTTACTGGCTGGATGCCCTTCCTGATGCCTAGGCGGAATTTGCAGCAGATATTTTCTACTTGCACCCTGATAGAGAAACATCTGTCACTGTCTAGGATTGAACTCTCAACCTTCTGAGTGGAAGGTGAGCATCTTTACCTCAAGGCCACCATGCTGCTCAACATTCCCATAGACAATAATCATGTAATCATTTGTCTGTAAGTATCCTAATATGTGTAAAGGCCATATTTTTGTCTCACTGCCTTTTAATGTCTCACATCCACACTTTAACTGCTGGCATTTATTTGCAAACAATCCATGTTCATTTTTTACACTTAAAGCTACTTGAGAGAGTATTCCTTCATTAATAACTTTGTACATTATGTGAATATTTGATGTCAGAGGGATGATATATGGAGACAGATTTAAAAAAGGCCTTGCTAGTCTTTTGATATATTATGTTAATACATTAATAGGTGTATGTTCATCTCCTTGTCAGAATGACTTGTATGTTGCCATACTGACAAGAGATATGAATCTATGAACCATACAGGTGACAAATTAATACTAAGAGCTCAATCAGTGCTGGCTGAAATGGAATAAACTGAATTCTAAAGCAGCATTTTTGCTTTTGTTGTTGTAATGAATACTGTTTATTTTTCTGCTAAATAGAATGGTTTAAAGACATTCAGAGAACACTGCAATTCCATAGGTATATAGTAAACCACTTTTGCATTGTTGCCACGAAAATTACAGGTATTTATCCATTTAATGCAAGCCAATTAGGCAGTCGATTAAGTAAAGCAAGAACCACATGTTTACCCATTTTCTTTATTTTTTTAAAAAGTAAGCAAACAAAATGTTGTGCTTCCTTGAATACCAAATAAAAATTTTGTGTAAAAGAGTACATAAATCTCATCTCTTCCTCACTTTTGAATAATACTGCATATACTTCAAAAATGAGCATTATTGTTTCCTACTGCACATTAAAAGAAGTTATCACAATGCCATTGCTGTTTATCATCTTCACAGTTTGTCCCAGAAGAAACAAAACTCCTTAATCAGAAAATTGAACCCACTTCTCCCAGCAATACATCAAAAAAGAAGTCTAAGAATTAAATGAATCAAATAGTAAATGTGTAAATTAACAAGGACACCAAATAAGAAACATTGCTTTAGACCATATTAAACCACATGAATGTGTGTAAAGCTATTGGTGTATAGCAGCAGATAGGAATTGTATTCACAGAATAGTTCTTGAGTTGAAGCATCTGGATGAAAACAACATTCTACATGTGACAATCCATATCAGTGAATCATCTCAAGACAATGAAAAACAGATCTTCATATTTACCAGGTAGGAAGTCCCTTTGAACACAATGTAATTAATGTCTGCATAGGATTGGGCTAAAAGTTTCTTTAATTTTAAAGACAGGTTACATTATCTGAAAAAAAAACACTATATTATGATTAGTTTATGTAGCAGCAATAATGCTGAGACAATTACTTCACATTTTTTGAAAATATGAGTTAAATTATTTAAAACTACTTTCTATAGATACTGAAGAATATTAAATTAGATTTGTATCTTTTTGTAATTCATGTAATAATAGGAATTCATAAGGAGATTCATGGACACAGAATACAGACTACCTTCTAAATTAACAACTTGATTCATTTTGTTTTTATTTATTTATTTAGAAAAAACCTGGTACTTACCACATATATAACTTGAAAAAGGCAATGCATAGATTCTAGCAATGGATAATTGTCTATGAAGAAAATATAAATAAATAAAAAGTCAATAACACAGATTTATCACTTATTGCTGTCAAGATCATTCAAAAGATCAAAGCATGCATATGATGTAAAGACTGACTTTTTCAGTTCTTTTTGAATCTGTAGAATCTATACAGCTCGGGATTAAACTGCAAAGGTTCATGAAAAGATTCTTTATATTGCATCTTTCCTCTACCTTGAATAATGAGATATAATTAGTTCAATAGATTTGATCGGAGAGATAAAGATTAATATAGAGCATGTACATAGTTTTTGGTATGTGTGAACCTTCCCATTTTGAATCACCACCCACTTCTTCAGAATTTTCTTCTAATAAAACATCTGAAGCATATAATTCATTGGGGTATTTTTAGTGCTATGCTACTTAAAGATTCTTAACTAAAACTGTCTGAATGTTTGCTGCTTTGGTTTTGTTTTTTTTTTTTAAAAAAAATCAGCAATATAAGCATCCCATGCAAAAAAAAAAAATGCTGATCAAATTCAACAATACTTAAATAAAATCCATTCTTTCTGTAGTTCTTCTGTAATAAATTATATCAGATTCCAGAGTTCAAAGTGTCTTAATATGGTTTAGTTATTTTCAAAATTATTTTTAGATTAAACTTTAAAATAATATCTGCTGTGTTACACCATGTCATGCTGATTAATTGGTGGCTTTTTCCCTGGTGTTACAGCAAAAGAAACAATATAGGGATTTATTAAAATTAGGGCATTTATTAAATGCCTTATATATATTTGCATATATCAGTTTTTCAAACACAATAACTTTTGTTAGTTACTTATGGAAGAAGCCATATCTAACCAGTTTCCTCCAAATAAGCCAGAAGTAGTAGAATGCCCCAAATCTCTGGTCAGCAGATAAGCATGCTGATTGCCATTGTGGGAGTTACAGACCCAAGAGATCTTGTATTACCAATTTGGAGAAAACTGAAGACATAATTTCCTACCATTCCTACTATGACTTCTTTTAATGTCACATGCATAAACTATGCCTGTCTCTCTGTAAAAACAAATCAAAAGTCAAATGCAAAACACTTGAGATAGTTTATGTAATCATTAGGCTCAAACAAAGAAGAATAAAATTCATACACCAATACCTGGGAAATCAAACTCTATTAATATAACTAGCATCTTAATAGCTTTTTTATGTATAAAAATAATTTCTATGAGAATTCAGGAAAAATATAATTCAAGTTGTCTCCCCCACACTTCTGTAAGTATGTTAAGTAGGTCAGGCAAAATAAACAAGTTTAAAGAAGGAATTTCCTCATTTACTTTTTATAAATAATCTATATACTGTAATACTAAGAGAAACCTGAACATGTATATCCACCATAGGATTCAGAGCTACATCTCTTGTATTTGAATACATACATTGAAGAGGCTGCTGTTGAAACTCCCAAAAGCTTCCAAGGTGACTCCATGAGATGTGGAGTGTATTATTCAAGACAACACAAGTCCAAAGCAGAAATTGGATTCAAAGGCTGAGCAGAAAAGCATTGCCTCAGAACCTGTGAAGACAGGCTTGCCAAATGTCAATGTTTGGCCTGGCCAAGGTAGGCTTGTATCATTTCTTTACTTAACAATACACAAGCATGATTGAAGGCTATCAGTGCTCCAGTAAACAGCTCTGATGGTCCACAGAAAGATTTAGATCAACATCCATGGTATTGGATCAGGCCCCAGTTCAGGAAGTTAGGTGTTAAATAAAGCTACATATCTGAAGAAAGTACCCTTTTAGATATTAACATAATGACATTGTGATTCCCTTTATGTACATATAGTAGAAGCTGAAATGGTTGGACATGCTTACAAATTAGAATGTGTAGTAACTATACAACACATGCCTTTAAAAAGTGTAAACATTTTACAACAGATTATACAGATCCTTCTAGGAGCTATAAAAACACTGGAATCACAATATTACAAATCATCACTAACAAAGAATTCTATCTGATTTATATATATATATATATATATTTATATATATAATTGTTACTTATATAATAATTAAAAACCACTTTTAAACAATTATACAAGTTCACTTTAAAATTAACTTGTTAATAAAGTTGTGCAAAACAAGCTGGTTTCTATAATTAAGTGAAGTATTCATTCATTTATTTATTTATGTCTTCATTTTTACAAAAAAAAAATAATAATAGAAAGTTCATTTAGAAATGTGTTTCTTTTTCTGTAATGGCTGAAATGTTGCCATCACCTTTCAATTTGGCATCGTAGTCATTTGCTGTAGCAACATATGAGCCAGCTCTGATCTTTCCTCTCATTTTCAGATCTGGGCTAGCTACAATCAGTTTTCTGAATCTCTGGAAAATAGGAAGAAAATTAAAAAAAACAACCATTACGTCTTTTGGTCATCCTTATAGTCATACCAACTCACTAAAACCTGGTTCACACATATTGCCTTTCTTAAACACTGGTTCTTAAATATATCAGGATTTTAACATAGTAATATACTGTATATTGGTGTTGTATGGTGCAAATTTAAAACTATGTATGTATGTATGTATGTAATATGGCTATGAGGGCTTTGGATTTGATTTTAAAGAGATGTGTCAGAAAGCATGGGAGGATGAATGCAGCACCACTCTATATCTCATTAAAGTAGTCACATCTCCTTCTAGGATTAGACAGCTGTAGTGACAGGTACACTCAGGTGATGTGTTCAAAGAACAGCATATTTGAAAGAACATCTTTGGAAGTGATTCTGAGGCATACCATAGGCCTAATAATGTGTTATCCATTCATTCCATAATAGATTATTTAAGATAAAAATAATGGTGCTATGTTGTGCATAAAATAACACCCTCTCAGGTTCCGAATACTCCCCACCTAACAGTTCTCAGTTCTTACTAGAGGCTTACTCTAGGGCATTTGTTACCTCAATTTTGTTCCCTTTCTCTTTCACATTTTGGTTTTAAAATGTTTCATGAAATATTTTTCTTATGCTTGTGAATTGATATCATATAAACCATCTCTCAGGCTTGCCCCAGTCTACTCTCTCAGGAAAATAAAACTCGTAACCCCATTTGGTTGAAGCAGAAGACCTTTTATGAAAAAAATTGGTTGCAGTAAAGTCAGACAGAATCTGGTGCTCCTGCACAAAATACAAAGCTATTTGTTTCCTTTCTCATTCCATTCCCCCATGACTGGTCCCCTGGCCAGCAAATGTGATGTCAGTAAAATGTTTTGAGAAACTCTGAGGTGTCATACTGGTAACATTACATTCTCAGGGAAAACGACCTTGAAGATCCTGGTATAAGCTGGTTAGTGGAGATCTGGTCTTCTTCCACTGTCACTCCCCCTCCCTATTTCCCACTTTTGAAGATATAGCAATAGTATCCAATAAACCTCCTCCCCTTTTTTAATGGCAGGATGCCAGCAAGACACAGGACAGTGATGGTGGACCTGACACCATATCTAACAAGTGTTTATATGCTACTTAATCAACATAATATAGGTTATGTTATGTTATGTTATGTTATGACCCTCAAGTGAATATTGTGGAATACATCTTTAAGTAAACTTGTGATTATTTTTTTTTAAAAAAAACCTCCAAAGCAACCCTCCTAAAATATAAACATGTTTGGGCAACAAAAATGTCCACTTTTGCACCCTCCCAAGCTGTCTCTTGGTTCTTCCTCAGGTATCACCATAACCCATTCTCAAATCCAGGGTAAATTAATAAATTGATTGCTAACATTTGACATTTGCATCTGTTGAGTCACAATAGTGGGCACAAATTTATGCAGTCAGAAGTCCATAAGTTCTGAAGTACTACCAACAGAAGGTAAAGACTCAGGATTCACTGAAATATGCATATCCTATTTTTTCTTTCTGGGCTTATACCTGGAACTTCTTGTCTACGATATCAAACTGCTTCGTAATAAAAACAAGCATCACCTCCAAAATGGTTCCTTCTGATTTCCACAGTTTTACACAGATCCACAAAGGAATGCAGACCATGGAGGACAGAGCCATCATCCAGCCAATACCATAACCCCAGTCTGGGTATATATATACGTTGTTATACTTCAAAGGTTTATATTTCACCAGGAAAAATATGAAGATGCCCTGAAATAAGGAGGAATGTGTTACGTATCCTTGAGAAAAAAAGAGAGAAATCTTGCTTAGGAAACTCCTTCATCCCAGTAAATTAATATATAAGGTCACACTTTGGAAAACAGACAGACAGCATGCTATCACTGCCGTTTCCTTCAATTTCAACACGCACATAACTTGCATCTGTCTCCTTTTTTACCCAAAGGAACCAGATTTCACACTGAAATCCAAATGAGCTTTAATTTAAATAACAAAGACATAAAGACTTCTTTTCAATTTGGCCACAAGCTGCATTTGTGCAGATCAACTTAGGGCTTATGATTAGAACATGTTTCCATTTGCATACTACTGAGTTGATTTTTCCTATCTCTTCCCACACACCTCTCACAAACATGTATGCAATTTCAGGTGGCCTCAACCTGGACAAAAATACCAGAACATTCAATATACTTCAAACCACTTCTAGTTTGGAATATTTACTTCTGGAAATAGCTAAACCAGAGCAGTTTGATGTGTTCAGGGTAGAATGGAGTTGAGAATTCTGCACATCTTTTGCTGCAGTGCATTTCTCCAATAAAGCATGGATACAAAAAAGCATATATTCTATATAAAACTTAATATATAACAGACAAAATATACATGACTATACTTAGGTGCGTACAGGAAAAGCATTATATCATTAAAAATCACTTGCATAATTTGTGATCACACAACATAAATATGTATATGCAGATACAAATATATTTGAATGAATATATAAAATGCATATAAATTTCATAGGAACTTTAAAAATTATTAAACTGTTGTGAAAATAACATAGTCCTATATCACAGTTGATATCAAGTTTTCATTATTATATTAGCACTTCAAAAACACATCTGAATCACCCATTTATATTATCTGTAATCTTGCATTTATATGTATGTATGAATGTATGTATGTAGGGAGTGAGTTTGTGTATGTATGTGGATATGTTTATGTCAGGGATGTAAAACTCAATTTCATTGAGGGCCTCATCAGCATTGCGGTTGCCCTCAGGGGGTGGGTGGGTGTGGCCTATTGGGTGGATGTGGATGGAGTAGATGTGGCCTATTGGATGGGCATAGGCAGCTCTACATCGTTCGATTTAAGAGTGCCTGTGGAAGCCTGGGCAGGAATGGGACAGATCTGAGGGTCTCTGGCAGAACGGGGTGGGACCGGGGCAAGTGCCAAGGCATGGTCCACTGCTGAAACCTCTCCGCCGGACCCCATCAAGCTGGATATGTGAAGAGCCATTTGCTGGCCACTTCCAGGCAATGGTACATTTCTTCATTCCTCACAACAGGTGACACCTCCCCAGCATGCACCCAGGGGGCAGAGCTGACGCGGCAGGGGCTGGTTCCTTGCTGTTTCCAGATGGCCTTATGGAGCTAAAACTGAATGCATTTCAGTATATATGGCCACCACAAAATTGTACCTTGGTTCCCGGCCAACCTGGGCCAAGGCAGTGGGGGCCGTTCCCTCACTGTTTCTCGGATTGCTTTGTGGGCCACATGAAACCACTTTGCGGGCCGCATCCAGCCCCCAGGCCTTGTGTTTGACATGTCTGGTTTATGTGCATACCTGTGTGCATACCAACCCACCTGCACATATTTGTATGTATGTACATATAAGTCCACCAATATTATCTGGTATATCAGTGATACTGAGTGAAATGGTTAGTGCCAGCAAACCAAGTTAGTTTTTCCCAGGAATTGAAGGGAGGGGTACAGCAAGAGTTATATGAATCAGTTAGGATTCAGTCCACCACATCTTTGTTCAAGTGCCCATTATAGGCAGATTAGTAAATCCTATGCCATGTAGGAAATGCATGTATTTAGATGTGTTATACGTTCTATCATTACAATATGAATTAATGTACAAAGAAACAGTGTGGTTAAGGCATCAGCCTAGAAAGTGGGAGTCCCTGAGTTCTTGTCCTTAGGCAAGTCACTGTCATTTAGCCAGGCGCTGACTCTGAGCCCTAGGAAGGAGGCAATGACAAGCTACTTTTGAAATGTTGCCAAAAAACTCATTGACATGTCTAGGCAGTTGTCAGGAGTAAACACTGACTCAAAGGTATGTGTGTGTGCATGCACACACACAAAGACACAAAGTGAAGATAGCATGTAACAATGGCTTGCCTGAATCTGGGCGTATTAGGAAAAAAATCTTAATATAACGCAATCAGTAAAAAAAAAATAGCTAAGTAAATGGAAGGATATTTCATAAGATTTTTTTCACTTAATCACTAGAGATTTGTTTCATTTTCCTTGTATAATCTACTTCTACGAAATAATTTGAACAAGACATCTGGATGAAAACCTTGCCAGAGCCTTACAAATTGTGTTCTCATACTAATCACATGTTTTATTACTTACTGCACAAATGCCAGGAGTAATCAACATCCAACACCATTTAAACATTATCAGTGGTCTGTACCCAATCATATCTTCAATGTTGTCATAAAACCGATTGCTTCCTATCCAAAATAAAAGAGCAAAGAGTGAATGTGCATCTGGAATTCTGTAGTAACACAAACCTTTATACACTATTTCTGAGATTGACCCTTTCTCTGTGATTGTCAATTAATGCCCAAAAAGGAAGGCAAAGGCAGCTGCTAAAACTGAGGCTGTTGCTGGAAAGAGACATTGCCCATTATTTACTGGGTCTGGTGTAGCTGTAACTACACAGTCCTTTCCACTGCTGGCTTAGGCCCTCGAAAGTGTTCTTGATATGATGTCCATTGTCTCACTACACATCTGAGGAAGGATGTACAAGGCTGTCACTTTTATTTTCTTTTGGAGCCACCTGAGAATGATGCTGTCTCATGAGGTTATGCCATTGCAAGAGTAGGGAAGAGCCTCAAGCTTCCTGATGCCACCACCTTCCAAGTATAACACAAAAAAGCAGATGGAACCTATTGCCAAAGATAAGGAGGCGCTCCAAGGAAAAGCACATTAGGTCAGCATCCATTATTTCATTATCAGCAGGAAAAGTCAGAGGGAAAGAGAATAGCAAAAACATCATTTTATTAAATGTTTAACATCTACAAGAAGCCATTGGAGGAGGTCATCTGTAGCCATGGGATGAAATATCATCAGTATGCTGATGATGCCAGATGTATATTTCTGCCTCTGATGAAGTAAGCAATAATACTGATGTCCTGTCTTGGTCCTTGGAAGTTGTAGGAGTTTGAATGGGGAAAACAGGCTTTAGTTAAATCCTGGCAAGACTGAGTGGCTTAGGGTTTGGGGAATAAAATTAGGACCAAGAATATGGTGAAGCAATCACTAAGTGGAAGTTCAACTATGCTTAATTTTATGTATTCGGTTCTTAGGCAATTGACGAAGACACATGATGAACAAGTAATCTCTTTATTGATCTTCTCCTTACAACCAAGCAAGAACCAAAAGGCACGCAGGCCTTTTATAGAGTCCTGAATCCGGACAGTGTCAGCCAATAAGAAGCTGACTGTTTTCGCACCTTGCGCATGCACACAAGGTTGGCGACAGCCAGTCTGGTCCCAGGCAGCTTTTGGTCTGCCCAGGACCATTTCAACTTTTCTGAGCCTGCTGAATGCTTCAGCAGGCTCAGGACACAACACCCCTCCCCCCTAGATAAAACAATATACCTTATGATGTAACAGCACAGGTACATGAATTCAAGGGACTGGGGGTTGGTGAAAATCACAATAGTCTGCACACAGGCAGAACACTCTTACATTACTACTTCTTATAAAAGAAATACAACAAATAATAAATTGAAAGTAACACTCCTCCACTGAGTGCTTACTTCACATCTTGTTTAAGGACCAGTAAGGTTCCCTTAGAATTGACAGAAACCTCACATAGTCCTCAAGATGTTTAGGTGGGCCCTTAGCCCGCTGTGACCTTCTGAGGGCCGGTGAGTATACCTGGCCTGCCAGCTCGCCTGCCAGGCTAGGCAGACCAGGACTTTGATCCCCCAAAGACCCAGGTGACCCACCCAGCTGCTGACTTGCTAGACCCTCCAAGTCCAAGCCAGGGTTCCTTGGAGGGGTGGAAGTCCCCAAGTCCACAATGGACTCCTCTTGGGAACACTGTCCCTTGAGCACAAGGCCAGCAGCTGGAGTGGCCTGGGGGCAGAAGTCCCCCAGTATTCCATAACCCCTGTGTATGTGCTGGAGATGCCAGAGTCAGGAGCTGCCTCCATGGCAAACCCCCTTTCTAAGGACTTCCTTTTTGGAGCAATAGCTGAACTGTGTGAGTGCCATTGGTGAAATTCCCAGTCTGGGGCTGTGTTTGAATTATGTGGATACCCCCGGTGTGACTCCATGTATGGAGCACTAACTGAAGTATTTGGATTATGTGGATACCCCCAGTGCAACTCCCTGTCTGGAGCAATGACTGATGTGCGGGGGACCCCCTTTTCAGGGAATTCCTGTTCGGAGCACTTGTGGAACCTTGAGATGACCCCTGAACAGCCTCAGCGGCAGTCTCAGCAGCTTGTGAGACACTGCTAGAATTGGGAAACTGTGAACCAGAATGCAGATTATGGTCCTCCTCCCCCCCAGAGCAGAGCCAAGAGCGGAAACGTGGCTGTTAAGCTTCCAGCGCAGTTGATTGATGTGTCTGCGAATGACATGTCCATCATCCAAGTCCATTTTGTATGACAGCGGCCCAGAGACCTTGCGTACCACTGCTGTGACCCAGGGATGACCAGGCCTATAGTTCCTTGCCCAGACCGGATCGCCACCTGAAGTCTCCTAGGTGCCCGCAGCTGTGACACCTGTGAAGCCACCCAGTCTGGGTGCAACCTGTCCAGTTTGGTGATGAGGCAGCAACCCAGTGGAGTTCTGCTGGGCTCTTCCCTGTGGCTGTGCAAGGTGTGGTGCGGTGTGCAAGAAGGAAATCTGCTAACCTGTGATGCCAGTTACCATAAGTCAGTTTCTTGAGAGCATCTTTGGTAGTGCGCACCATGCTCTCTGCTTGGCCATTGGAAGATGGGTGGAAGGGAGCAGACATCGCATGCTGGATCAAGTTGGCTGGAAGAAAAGCCTGGAATCAAAAGATGTAAATTGGGGGCCATTATCTGAAACCAGGACATCTGGGACTCCATGTGAGGCAAAAATTCCTCTCAACACCTGGATGGTCCTGGCAGTAGTAGTGGAGGAAACAGGAACAACCTCTAGCCACTTGGAATGGCTATCAACAACAACCAGGAAGAATTGCCCCTGAAAGGGCCCAGCATAATCTATATGCACCTTAAACCATGGGGTTTGAGTTTCTTCCCACCTATGTTCTGGGGCCTGAAATGCCATGACTGTTGGCACAGCTGGCACCCATGATCCTGGGCCTTGATGTCTTTATCAAGCCCAGGCCATCAGATATGGCTGCGCGCAAGCGCCTTCATCCTTACTATTCCTGGATGTCCCTCATGCAGAGAGAGCAAGACTCTAGAGCTCAATTAGCTGAGATGACTACCCTAATATCCCATAACAGGCATCCTTTGAACATAGAAAGCTTGTGCTTCCTTTGCCAGAAGCTTTGAAACTCCGTATTTGGACACGTGTCAGGCCATCCTGACAAGACCCATGTCAGTACACATGTGAGTGTGTGATCAGTCGCAGTTTCTGCAGCCACGTCCCTAGCATTGAGGTGAGATTCAGGCAACTCCTGAATGGAAAGAATGTTAATAGCAGGAGCAGGATCTGCCTCTGTTTGAGAGGTAATCTGCTGAGGCCGTCTACATGGCCCATCTCTTTTCCATGTTTGGGAATGAGTGTATAATCATATGCTGACAGGAAAATTGACCATCTCAGCATATGTGGAGAAATAATGTGTGGTGTCTGTTTGTTGGTTGTAAACAAACTCAGCAGAGGCTTATGGTCTGTATAGACCATGAAGTGGCAACCATATAAGAAATCATGAAATTTCTTTATGGCAGCCACTATGGCCAAGGCTTCTCTGTCAATCTGAGCGTAATTCCACTCTGCAGATGACAGAGTCCTTGAATAGTAAGCTACAGGGACTTGTGTCCCATCAGCTTCAGGTGACTAAGTACTGCTCTCACCTCATAAGGAGATGCATCGCATGCGATGCACACAGGCAGTTGCTCATTGAAATGTGCTAATACAGCATTTGAAGAGAGCAAGGCCTTAACCTCATTAAAACTCCTTTCATGGACTTGAGTCCACTGCCATGGAGCCTGCTTGTCTAAGAACCAGTGTAACGGCTCTGCCACTGCAGTGTTATGTGGGAGAAATGCGTGATAGAAATTTAAGAGCCCCAAGACAGCTTGCAGCTCACTCTTGGGCTTGGGGCCTGGGGTCTGCTGAATCACTTGAAGCTTGGATTCAACAGGGTGGATGCCTTGAGCATCAATCCTGAAGCCTAAGAAGTCAGTGGAAGTGACTCCTATTTTGCATTTGTCTTGCTTCAATTTAAGGCCTGCTTGGCGGAAACGAAGCAAAACAGCCCTTAATCTTTCTGCTAAATTTTGAGATAACTCCCCAGCAATGAGGATGTCATCGAAGTAGGGATAGACCCCAGGAATACCACGAAGTGTGTGTTCCATGACACTTTGAAATATGCCAGGGGCTACATTTACCCCAAACTGCAGTCTTTTAACCTTAAAGGCCCCTCTATGTGTTACAAACATTTGGGCCTCTGCAGTTACCTCATCAACAGGTAGCTGCTGATAGGCCTGTGCCAAATCAAGTTTTGCAAAAAGGTGCCCCCCTTTGAGGGATGCCAGAATGTGGCTTACCACAGGCACGAGATATGCATGCTGTTGCAACGTTTTATTCAGTGTGCACTTGTAGTCTGCACATATAGGGCCTTCTCCATTAGCCTTTAAAGGCGTTACAATGGGGGTTTCCCATGGACTAGAGTCCACAGGTTCTAAGATGCCCTGCTGGAGCAGCTTGTCCAGCTCTGCATCTATCTTGCTTTTGAGGGCAAAAGGCACCCTTCTAGGCTTGATCCTGATGGGCGTGATAGTTGGGTCTAAATGTAATGCAATGGGAGGCCCCTTGTAAAAGCCAAGCTCTGAGCTAAACACATCAGCAAACTCCTTGCAGATTTCTGCAAGGCCCAATGTTTGCGAGCTGTGAAGCCTGGATTGTCACTTGGATTCCAAGGGCCTCGAACCAATCAAGTCCAATAAGACTTGTGCATTCACCCCCAACTATCACCACATCTAGGAAGCCCTCAAAATCCTTATGCTGCACTTTGAGAGTAGCCTCCCCTTTCACACTGACTTTGGAATTCTGGAAGTCAGTGAGGATTAAATTCGATGGTCTGAGTTTGACTCGAAGGCCACTAGTGCTGCAAATTCTTTTGAAGGTGTCAAATGAAATAATTGATATAGCAGACCCTGTGTCCAACTCCATCGATAAGGGAACCCCTTGCAATTTCACATCAATGCGAAGTTTTTTCTTAAGGGGCTTGTGTGTCCCTGTCCTTAGAATACTCCTGCGCAATGCGCAGAAACCCACCCTGTGCTGGCTGGGGATCCTGGTACCTTTCTGAAGCAATTCTTCCTGAGGTTGGACCTTCTGGGACCCAAACAGACAGAGGCAATGTGGCCTTGCCTGCCACATGCCCGGCAAATGGTGGAGCGGAATCTGCAGTTAGCTTGCTTGTGGCGTCTTCCTCACCCGAAGCACTGAGGAGATGCTGGGGCCTTGTCTGGAAGCCCCTTCGGCCTTCTATCTGCTGGCTGGTGAAGTTTGTCCACCTCCTTTTCAGGATCCACTTCTGAATCTTCTCAAGCGTCCTCTTGATAGACGGTCACGATGGCTGGAGGGTTCCTGGCGAGCTGTAAAGCCTTCACAGCACCGCCTGCTGCTTCCTCAGCTGCAACCTCTCTTAAGGCATCTTGAAACGATACTTCTTCTTTCGCGAAGATATTCTGTTGCAATTCTCTACTTTGTAGGCCACACACGAAAAGATCTCACAGCCTCTCTTCCAGGTCCTTGAACTCACAAGGCCTGGCCTCTTGTCTTAAGGCAGTGATGAAGTCCACAGCAGATTCACCCGGCCTCTGGTCTCTCTGCTCAAATGCATGCCTCCAAGCGATGACAGACAATTTAGACTGGAAATGTTCCTTCAGCATCTTCTTCAAGTCAGCATATTTGAAGTGCAGGGGCCACCAGATTTTCAGCAATGTCGGATGCTTTCTGGCCACAGACGCACAGAAGAGTTGCCGCTTTCAGGCCATCTTCCCTGATTTGATTCACTCTAAAGTAGTTCTCCACCCTTGCTACATACAAATTCCATCTCTCTGGGTGGGAGACATCAAAGTCTGTCAAGCGGCCAATTTTCGACATTGTAAACCTTTATGGCCTAATTGCCTCCCTGCAAGCTAGTATTTGGGGAAAAGGTCCTTTTGCCGACTCACCTCCAGAGATGCTATACTGGCAGGCTGAGTCGCGAATGCAGGATGCTGTCTTCCCAGTCTTTGGACCTTCTTGGTGAGTCCTATTTGTTTCTTTTGCTTGCAGGGATCCCACCTTCATCACCAGTTTTATGTATTCGGTTCTTAGACAATTGACAAAGGCACATAATGAACAAGTAATCTCTTTATTGATCTTCTCCTTACAACCAAGCAAGAACCAAAAGGCCCGCAGGCCTTTTATAGAGTCCTGAACCCAGAAAGTGTCAGCCAATAAGAAGCTGGCTGTTTTTGCGCCTTGCACATGTGCACAAGGCTGGCGACAGCCAGTCTGGTCCAGGCAGCTTTGCAACATTTCTGAGCCTGCTGAATGCTTCAGCAGGCTCAGGACACAACACTTACATTCTTACTTCAACATAGCTGCAGCCAATCAGTGATGAGGAAGAGAAACTGCCTTCTACACGTGATCTGAGAACACAATACGAAGAGCAGAGAAAAGGCAGAACAGCGAAGGTCAGCCTGATTACTTGTGAGGAGGCAGCCTTGCTCTTTTTAATTTAGCACAGCAGACAGATGGAGGCAATGCTGGGAACAACATGTTCATTTCCTAGCTGTGTTTTTTCCTGGTTGTTGTGATTCATGCCTTGCTTTGATTGATAGTAGGCCCTGACTTGGATCATGCCTTGTGAAATCTGGACTTTTCTTGCCCTGCGAATTATCTTGTATTGTGGATTTAACTTTGCCTGGTGGGTTTATCTCATTTGGGAAACTTTCAAGTGCCTTGTTGACTCAATGGCCCTTGCTCTGTGAATTAGCATTGGTCTGCTTTTGGCAGAAGTTAATTGGGATAGTTCTGGGTTTTTGGTGAAGGGAATTGCTGTGAAATATTAATAAACCCACTAAACCACCATTATGTGTCTGTGTGAGTGAGCAGGACAGCACAGCCACATGAAGTCTCCTTGGATAGAGTGATAGGCAGTATATAAATTTAATAAATAAACTAAATTATAGAATTATCGAATTAATTAAGTATTCACAAAAGAATCAAGGCATTAAATCTACAGTCTGTATTTAACTTCTAACCTCTAAGAGACAACAACGTGAATTGTTCTGGGAACCACTCCAAGGATAGCTATATGGGAAACAATATTTATCAGAAGGGGAGATTTATAAACCATGCTTTGACAATTCTAATCTTAAATTTTGCCTCAGTTCAAACATTTTTAATCTGGCAAGGTAAATTATGGAAAAAATTTCTGTAGAGGTAAGAAAGATGGAGGCAAAGAAAGATAACACTATATATTTTATTTTGTTGCCCCTCATGATCCTTTCTCTGCACAAGGCCAGACATATTTCCCCAGCTGGTCCCTGAAAAAGATACTGATGACTATGTATATCTAGTGTACATTTAACATGTTTGAGACATATTTGTATAATGAGAAACAGGATATAAATAATTGACATAAAAATACATTATTCAAATTATCTGGAAAAGTATTGTGTAATTTCAGGCAATAACATCAATCATTGACTCACCATAAAACCACCCAATGCAGACACACTCAAATATAGCAACAAAAAGAAGACACATTCCACTAGCAGCATAAGAATCAAATAGCTGGAAAATATACATTCCGCCCTGAAAAAGAAAATTAAAAATTAAGAAGGTTGTGGGTTTGTGACATTTTAGTTTTAAAATGAGGATTATTTTCAGATAGCATTCACTGGAGGATACCATGTAATTTTTCAAATTATAACTGGAAAGGAGGAAAATGCAACATTCTTCTCCTTTGCCCAAGTCAAGAGGAAAATTATTCCTTCAAAGGCATTATTTTCATTGTGGGACACCTCCATTGGTATAGTAATATTAGCCTCACAGCAAGGATTTACTTTATAGTAGTTAAAAGCTAGCCTTTATCAGTAAATTTAGGTAAGAAATACCTAATAAAATGCTAGCTGTTCACCCTAAGCCATACAGCTCAAAGTAAAATTCAATCGACAAGAAAATTTGCACAGCATTTAAAATGTTCCTCAGAAATTACATAGCACTGGAGTGGATATTGCAGTTATTTTCAACAGCAATGCATTTTCCCCTTAAATTTAACTCATTGAATGTTTTGGGGTTTTTTTTGGGGGGGGGGGTGTAATGAAAAACCTTAGATGATAGTAAATGATGCAACAGTGCCATTTGGTGGACCATGATACATATTGCAACTTGATTGTATACTGCAAGTAACATATTCTAGAATGTACAACGTTCTACTCTTTGAAACAAAAGGCATAGAAACAGTGTGCTTTGAAAAAAATATTTTCTCCTTTTGCTAAATTCTATTCAAAACAGTTGGGTAAACAGCTGCAGTAATAAATAATCTGGGTTTGCCTCATGAACTGATATGCCTCTAAACACGATTTTCTGGAGAGTGATAATAGTGATATAACTCTCATATTATATTTATGCTTTTCCAGTAGCATGGAGCTGAACACTCTGAGTAAGGTTTTGGCCTTGTGTGAAGTAGGGCTTAACACATGTCTCCAATAGGGTTGCATGCATATTTTCCACTGAAAGAGTCTTCTAGACCACCTCTCCCACCAAAATCTGACACTAGCCACATATCTCTTCTGCAATTAGAAATATTTTAAAAGGTTAATTCTTTTGTTTATTTAAAGTATTTCTATACCTTAGTTTATATAAATATTTATAATATACATTATATTTCCTATACATCACAGAAAATCCCCAGCTGCTTTACAGTAGCCACAAAATCAATTCAAAATAGTAGGAAAAAAAGTTAAAAACAATATATCTGGAAAAACCAGGGACAATTTAATGGCTGGACTCAGCGGACTAAATTATTACTTCCAATATTGATTTTTATGGTAGTGTCATAAAATCAGTGTTGGAAGAAATAATTTAGTCTGCTGAATACAATTCCCTGTTCAGTTCATGATAGTTTCCATAAATGGGATATCAATCATGTAATCAGCAGTATCACAAACTGTAGCGCAGAGACTAGCATCTCTTCTTAAGATTATATATCTTGGAGGGGAGGATGTAATTGTTCTTTATGATTGTTTATGATTCATCCATTCTGTGAAGCTAATGAAGCAAAATATCATCATTTTGATTAACAATATCAAAGGCAACCGAGGGTTCAAATTAGAGTTTCATGTCTCTTGGTAGAGGTCATCTATTGGTGATTAAGATTTTACCCTATTCCAGTCTGGAATTTAGAATGGGTATCTTCTTTAGGCAATAAAACTAAGTTCAATTTAATGTTATGAATAAAATATAATTAGCATTTACTCTCCTATGCATATGGTACTTTTTGCCTCTGTCATACAAAATTACAATTCATGGCAATTCAATAGTTGATTATGATTATGATTACAATTCTTATTAATTCAGTTTATTCGATTTGTATGTCGTTATCTATCCCCTTCCCTAACCATCAGATCTAGATGATTCTGGGCAGCTAACAACAGTTTGTAGTAAAGCACAATCAATCAGTGATGATTGGAGAGGTTTTGTACATACAAAATTTTGATTCACCCTGGTGAATGGGAAGGGTCCATTGAAAGGGATAATCTGATCCTAATCCCTAAATGACTTTTCAAATCAAGACCAGCATTTTATAGAATGCTAAAATACATTTGACAAGATCTAATATTTCTAAATGATTGGTAATTAATCCCAAACCTATTTTTATAAATATTTGCAGTTCCAATAATTTATGAGTCATCCAATATGCTTCATAGAATTCCCAACTCTAAAAATGAGAGCTGTGAATTAATAATTGCGAATGTTATTAAATGTAACTTACCTCTGTTAACATAATTAAACCAAGAAAGTAAGACACAATTGAAAGAGCTAGGATCAACATTTCTCTTCTATATCCTCTCCGGAAAACCTTGGGGTACATATCCACCACTGCTGTCACAAGACTCTCAACACACACAAACTGGATAAAAGAAACAGAAACAAGGTAAACAAATACATTCCCATTTCTATATCAGTAATCAGTGCATGAAATGTTTTGCAGCATTCACAGCCCAGTGCTGTAAGGAGCTTTATTCAAACTATATCGCAGGTGAGGCAAATTGTGATTCTGATTAAGTATATTGCAGGTTTGGGGATTAGCATTAGTGGAATCAGACTATCCCTATTATTCTTCAAAAGAGACAAGGGACAAGTTTTTAAGTTTTCTTAGCACAAAATAAAGCACTATACTCTGTATTATTTCTTGACTCAGTGCTGTGAAAAATTAGGGAAATTATTCAGCATTTAAGAGTTATTATGGGCTGAGGACAGTGCTTCATTTTATATTCCCATCTTCAAACTCAACAGTACCGATTATATGTTCTTGAAATCTAATCCTTCAAGGTTATTAAACACCATTTTTAAATTCCTTAGTTCACTTTCCTAAAGTCACTAAGTACATCTCTCAACCCTACTTTAGTGGATGGTACACACTTCCATTCTTTTAGAACAGCTATTTTCCAATGAACCCGTGGTTCCAATGGGAAAGCTGGCTTCATTGCCTTTTCTCTATCAAGTTGCAGCCTTTTAAATTTCTCAAGTTTAGCCTGTGATTAAAGCCCATTATTTTCAACTCATGTTATTATACACTTGCCTGCCCGTTTTCTCTTATTTCATCACACAAGCAATAACAGTTTGCATATATTAACTAGTCATATATGTTTATACTCATAAAGAATATCTCTTACTATGTAACAATTCTACGTTTTAAAGACCTTCACAGAAATTAGTTTGCAATGTTTATAACAGTTTTATAGTAACTCTGATTTTACCTGACTATCTAATCCAAGGAATATAAGCATCATGAAAAACAAAGTTGCCCACAATGGAGAAAGAGGCATCATTGTTACGGCTTTTGGATATGCAATGAAAGCAAGTCCAGGTCCTGAAAGTAAAATAAAAGGAATTAGATACATAAATGAGGACTTGTTCATGTACTGATCACATTATGGATAGTCCGTATAGGTATATAATTGATGGCATGGGATGTCTATTACTATGGATCATATCTCTTTATAGAAAATGTCCAACTTCTTTTCTGCACAATTAACTTATATTCAAATCCCATATTCAAGAAGACCATCAAATATATTTGTAGAACTTACCTGATTCTGCAACCTCTGCTATGGGAACCCCCTGTTCATAAGCCATAAAGCCAAGAACAGAAAAGATGGCAAAACCAGCCACAAAGCTTGTACCACTGTTCAGGCAACAGAGCATAATGCAGTCTCTATCAAATAAAGAGCAAAATCATTGTTTAATTTTAAGTGCTTGACTTTATATCACAGTTCTGGGGAAAAAAAATCAGAAAGACAGAAGCATTAACTTCCAGGAACTTTCCATGTAGCTTGTTGGCTATACTTCTAATGCATTAATATAATCAAATGGATTATAGTACATTTTTGTCACAGTTAGTATCACCAAATTCTACTGTTCTAGATCTCAGAGATATCATCAGAGATTTAGTCAGAATTTTAATGATACCTCTTTTTTCTACTTGATGCCAAAAATACAGCAATAAATTATTTGACTATTCATTGGTAGCCTTTAGAAATATAAGTTTTCATTTTTCTAATTCAATGTCTTCTCAGAATATGGAAAGAAAACTTCAACAAGCTGTCTCACTTGGAATATAATTACTGGCTTTATGGAATTTCCATATTATATGACTACCTACATTATGTTGCAAATGCACAGTTAACATTCACATGTAAGTTCTTCTTGCAAGGCTTTAAGGAGAAATGCATAACCAGAGAAATCTGAAATATAGCATTATGCTAAATGATACAATTTCATATTCAAATAACGTGATTACTGTAAGTACTAATAAATAGTTTCTGTTTTCTACTTTCTTCAGGAAATGATATCAGTTTGTGTCGGTAAATACCTACAATATTTAAATTCATGGTTGTCAATCCGTTTGAAAAGAGAAAAGTTTGTGTTAAGAAATATAAACTCTTGTGGCACCTTAAAGATGACACGTTTGTCAGTTTTAAATGTACTTTGAAGATTTATATTCCACAAGGACTTATCTCAAATACTTTGACAAAGATTCAGTATTTTTATCTGACAAGACAGACAAAATACAGAATGTGGAGAATGATTCCTAAAAGGATGTTTTACTGGATCTATAAAACAAATTGGTCAATTAAAAAATAAAAGGAAAGTACAAATGATAAACAAACAATGACCTTGAAATTTTTTTTTAATTACAATTGAGGTTTGCTAAAGCCTTGAAGGGACCATGAAGCGGGGGGAATCTATGTGATGGTATATAGAAGAATCAAAGAGAAATCAAATCCTACAACAATATTTGATTGAATTAAAGGAAGGAATATAAAGTTGATTTATTTGATCAAGGTTAAAGTAAAACATTTTGTTTTTGCAATGTTCTGGCAACTTTTTATGGACTTTGTGCTGACACCAGAATTGAAAAATTGGTGTTTTATCTATTTGCTTCTAGAAAAGGGCTGAAGAGATACATGTTTAATCTTATAGGGAATTAAGAATTATTAAATTTGAGATAATGAAGATTGGAATACACTTCTTTATATATTTCTTTTCCTCTTTTTTATATTTTTTCTCTTCTGCAGTTTTTACTGTTTCCTTCTCTTTCTATTCTTTCCCTAAGTTTAATTTGTATTAGTTTTTATTACTGTAATTAAAATTCATAAAAATTACATTCATGATGAATATTACTCATTTATTTTATGGTCAATATAGTATTATTAAATAATCTTGATAGTTATCAATAATATTAATATTATTATGGTTCAATGCATAGTTAGACAGATGTTCAGATTGTATTTGGCATTCAGGCTAGGCAATACTTGATAGTGTTTAAAGGTATCATTACAACATATAACCTGTTCCAAATAAAAATGTTTTTTGCAACTGACTGATTGATTTTGTCAATGCCAATGATGTTCAAGTGATACTTCAGTTGTTTTGGGATGATAGGACCCAGTTCCTATTGGTTCTACCTTTGCTTTCAGTTCATATCAGTCTCAGACTCTTAACATTGATTTTTGTTAGCTTCCAAGACATAGAAGAGAAAAAAAAGGTGAAGCCCTAAGGCAAAATCTGCAATCTGCAATCTGTCTGTCTGTCTGTCTGTCTGTCTGTCTGTCTGTCTATCTATCTATCTATCTATCTATCTATCTATCTATCTATCTATGATTGTGATAAATTATTTAATTCTACAAAATAATCTTATGAAAAAGTAAATACAAGTGTGTAAGAAATAACAAAAATGAGAAAAACAACAGATAATTAATATAATATCTCATCAAATACTAAAAAGTTGCATAGTATGTTATATTGTCAACCTTTCTTCACTTATTCTGCCTACATTGTTTCTCTATCTACATCTGAAATTTTATCATTTTCAATATCGTCACATCATTCATGACTTTCTTTCATGTATTTATTCTTGAAGGCTTTATTTCAATTTCACCTTTTGACATATCACTAGCATATATATTCCTATGTCTGTCAAAAATACTCATTCCAGGATTCAGTGATTTTATCTTTCAGAAATGATCTATCCCAGATCATTTTATCACTTTTATTTTTATTTTCTGGAAGATCGTGTTTTGTGATGTTGCTCATATTAAGATGTGTGGATTTCAACTCCCAGAATTCCCCAGCCTGGTCTAGACTGAAAATGGCCAAGATTGAGAAACATTGATTTAGGCATTTTACCTGTTTCCAAAACTAATTTTCATTTTAGTCAAAATTTAATGGCTGTTTCCCTGTTTCTTCTAATCTTAATCTTAATTATTTATTGCAATCTTTGAAACTGTCTTGTGTTTTCAATGGAATTTTTTTATCTCTTAACTTCCAGCAGTAATTCTATTTTCACTCTAGAGCGTCTTCCATTTCTTTCTTTTTCTTTCATATTCATTTTCCATTTTTAACAGTATCCAATAATAGCCATCTCACTTTCAGAATCTCTCTTTACTACTCTAATTCTATCACTTTTATCAGAAACAAGTGAATTAATCACAATTTAAGATCTATATCCTTTCTTTTGTTATGGATACAGATAAACAGTTATTTTGCTTAGATCCAATAGTGGGATTCAGCCAGTTCGCACCAGTTCGGCAGAACCAGTAGCAAATTTTTTGTTGCCCAGGCTCAGAATGGACTTCCAGAAGCAGCATCCACACAGAGAACCGGTTGTTCTCATATGTGAATCCCACCACTGCTTAGATTACTTTTTTTAAACACATTTTTTTTCTAACTAAATATTTCCTAGTTGCCATTTTTCTTTATTTTTTTTGGTCCTTGATTGGACCAGTCACTTTTTCTGCATTGTTTTCTTTCATTCCCACCTATCCAGTCATGTCACCTAACAAAATCATTTTTGTCCTATAAACCTGAGAAGAACAGAAAGAAGGTGATATGGAGTGTACATAATTGTAAGAAAAATAGGAGTGACAGATATTGGTGGGGTTGTGGCTAGAAGGCTGTAATCACAAGCACCAGTAATTTAAACTGAACTGTCTCAGATAAGGAGCCAATAGAGCATATTTGTGCTACAATGATAATAAGATGCCATATATAGCTTTTCCTGCTTCTGGTAAGATCAGTACCAATCAGCTGGCATTAATTGGCATGTGCAGGCCCTAAGCCTAACCAACACCCACTTTTACTTCAAACATATTCACACTATTTTATCCAAGATAGGATTTTACTTTAGAGGTGAACATGCAGGCATCTCACCAATCAAACAGGGTCCATACCATTTAAATAATGCATAGTGTTTATTAGTATATGCAGTATGTATGCATGTATGTGTTTTTGTGTTTTAATTAGTCTTGCATACACATCACCAAATAATTACCTTAAATATATACCTAGATTTATAAATAGATTAAACTAAAACCTAAACAGAAAAAAACATATAATGACACAATTGTGTATTACCTATAACAATTATTATTGTAGCTATTGTAGCTTCCTAGGGCTGTCAAGCATCCCAGGCAGATAGCATAGGAGAAAAATATCTGTGTTCCAGCATCTATCCAGACCTGCAAACATAAAAATGCAAAAACAATTTAGGAAAAAAGAAATATTTTCTGTTTCAGAACCATATACAATAATTCATATATATAAATTATTACCAAAATGCCTTGTTGCCATATTTTTTGCTGGATAACCAGTTTAAAAATCCAAAGATCATTATGTGATTAAAAAATAAATGTTGTGTTTCGGTTGTTTTTCTTGGTATTCCTTTTCATCCCATTACTTGTGATTTGTTTTATTCCAGTGAAGTATTATCTATTTATAATATCAAGGATTATTTTTCAGCAAACATAAAAGAAATTATTTGGGGAGGAGACTCCTGTTTTATTGACAGAAAGCATCTATTATAACTGTATGATTTTACTGTGGTATAAAATTGATATTAGAGGCCAAGTATCTACAGTAAGATAGTCATAGAGAGCACTGTATCAAGCAAAGTACATCTGCAAACATTGCATCATTGTATTTCTACTGTTTGTAGAATTAAGTACATTAAGAAAAATGTTTTTTTTAAACTACAGTCCAGAGATTTAGGCAATGTGGACTGGAGAAAATGAAAGTTATAGCATACTACATCTACACCTAGACAGCAAGTTAAAGAAGGCTAATGTAATCCATAATTCCAATTGAAGTAAGGTGGATTTGTATAGGAACTGATATCCAGCAAAAAAGGATTATGACTATGAGCCAGCAGTGTGCAGCAGCAGCCAAACAAACTAGTACAATCCTGGGTTGTATAAACAGAGGCAAGATCACATGAAGTATTAGTACCATTTTATAAAACCTTAGTGAGACCACACCTGGAATACTGCAACTAATTTTGGTCACCATATTACAAAAAAGATGTTGAGACCTTGGAAAAAGTTCATAGAAGAACAGCTAAGATGATCAAAGGCCTGGAGATTAAAACATATGAAGAACAGCTGCAGGATTTGGGTTTGACTAGTCTAAAGAAAAGAAATAATAGGGGTGACATAATAGCAGTATTCCAGTATTTGAGGTGGTGCCACAAAGAAGAGGGGGTCAGACTATTCTCCAAAGCACCAGAGGGCAGGACAAGAAACAATGGCTGGAAACTGATCAAAGAGGAAAGCAACATGGAATTAAGAAGAAACTTCCTAACAGTGAGGTCAATTAACCAGTGGAACAACTTGCCTTCAGAATCATGGACACTCCATTCCTGGAGGTTTTTAAGAAGAGACTGGACAGTCATTTGTCTGAGATGGTATAGGTTCTCCTGTTTGAACAGGGGCTGGACTAGAAGACCTCTGAGGTCCCTTCCAGCTCTATTCTATCCTACAGTATTTCTCAGAAGAACCTCAATCACAGTTGTTAATTTTATACATAGTTATTTTTTCTGAATTCTCAAACTGAGTGAACAGGCAAAAAAAAAGAGATGATAAGGAAAAAATAAATCTGACAACCCCTACTTTGACTTTTAAGCTTAAGTGCACATGAGAAGCGATTTGTCTATGCTACATTCTATATATTTCATTATTTATATTTACAACTTGCCCTTCTCTTAGATGATCAAGGCAGCTCTCATGTTTTTCTCATTCTATTACATCCTTATGACTCTGTCAGCTACAGTCAATCATCTATTTCTTTCAGAAAATTCTTTGAAAAAATGTATTCATTTTTTCTTGCGGCTTTAGATGTTGTGATGGAGATCAGTTTAGACATGGTTAAAGGCATTGAAGACAAATTTGCGAAGAGCTATTTATGGCTTTTGGACTTCTGAAAGGTACACTGCCTTCAGAATAATGATTATAAAAGAACCATGCACACTTTCATACCACTTGCTAGGAAACAACAATAGAAAAGTCCTATTGCTATTTTATCCCGCTTCTGAGTTCTCAGATGCATCTGGCTGATCACAAAATGTTGAACTTGATACGCAATTGTTCTTTTCCTAGAAGATTCTCCTTTAGTTCCTAGTTAGGGACTAATGAAATAATCTGTGGCAGCAAATTATGTATATAACAATTATTCAATGTATGAAAAGTAGTTATTTCTCTTGTTTGTTTTGAATCAATCAGCTTTCCTGGAAAATCACAATTTTTACCTTGTTTAATTCAATAAGTTAGAGTAGCACCATCCACTATTTTTAATATATGGGAAAGAGAAAGATGCAGGTAGCAACAACAACAACAATATTCATGATATTATTTTTCTACAGGTAATCCTCAACTTACAACATTTCATTTAGTGACAATTCAAAATTAAAATGGCACTGAAAAAGTGCCTTATAACCATTTTTCACATTTACGACCATACCAGTATCCCATGGTCATATGATCAAAAGTCAGACGCTTGGCAACTGATTCATACTTTTGATGATTTCAGTGTCCTGGGGTCATGTGATCACCTGTTGCAATCCTCTGACAAGCAAAGTCAATGGGGAAGCCAGATTCACTTAACCATGTTAGTAACTTAACAATTGCAATGATTCACTTAACAACTGTGGCAAGAAAGATTATAAAAGAGGGCAAAATATACTTAATAAATGTCTCACTTAGCAACAGAAATTTTGAACTCAATTGTGGTCATAAGTTGAGGACTGCCTGTATTATCGTTGTGAGTCATCCAGAGTTCTGATATTAAGATGAATAGCCATACAAGAATTTAAAATAAATTAAATCTCCCCTTTAATATGATTTTTTTTTTCTAAATTAAAAATATCAAGATATTCCAAACTTTTCTTGTAAGACATTCTACAGTTTCTAGACCAAGGCAGAACCAAACTCTTGATTTCTAATCCGGAGCCTTGAACACTACACCAGACTGGCTCTCTTGTGCTTACTGTATTCCTGTATTTCTATATTTTTGTGCTCTTATTGCACCTTTTGAGTGCTGGCTGCTGCCATGTTTAGACCCCTTCTTGGTTAGGGAAATATCTGCAGGGCTGCTGAGAGGACTATTTGGTGGATAAAATCACTTGGATTCATGCTGAGTTGAAGTCCAGTTGTGCAGGTCTTATGGAATTGTCTTCAATAGTCTTGGGTTGCTATTTGGGAGGAATTCAATCCTGTTAGTCCTGAAGTAGCTGACAAGATACTTGGCCATGTGGGTGTAACCCCCTGTGTTCTAGATCTGGTTGGACAAGGCTTTCAGAGAGGGTAGGTTCATCTCCATATGGCAAATGCTTCCCTGGCAGAGGAGACAGTTCTACCACTTCTAAATACTCTCATGATGGGCATGCTTTCCTTTCTTCACTTGAAACAATGTCACCTTGAAAACCTGGAGGTGCGCCTTTTCCACTGAAGTGTCTGTCCTCTGAAAAAAATCAATTGCCTACATACAGTTGGCCCAACCCTATTGTCCTTCTACTGTTTATAAACTCAGTAAAAACCTTGCTTGAAACACAGATGCTTCAACCAGGATAATTTGAGTTCTGCAACAAATTTGAGTCCCTGATCTCCAATTAATAATTCTTCCCTAAAAAGCTGATATTGCTTTTTTTAAAATATATTAATGTTCTGTGTATTGTACACAGACCACACTAGCATAGTTCAATTTGGACAGCTCTATACTGTAAATATTTTAGATACATATATGCAGAAAGTATTATTTGGAATTATTATTTCAACATGTGTCCAAAATTAATTCCATAGGATTATATCATATGAAATGTAATGGAAATACATAGTGTGGTACACTGGATTCTCCAATTTTATTTCTCTGATAGACTATTTTTGAAAGCTGACAGCTTTCAATTTTCAGTTTACTACTATATATAAATAGGTGATATAGAGTATAAAGCAGCACTGACCAAGATAAAAGAAGTATGGCTTCATAAAGAACATAACTAAATTACATGTATTTTTCACCAGAAAATACAGTGATCATCAGTATTAATAACATCAAAAGAGACTTTTTCAACTCATGGCTATCAGTGTATCAGTGGCTATTTGCTCAATTGCTTCATTTCTATTACTTCTGAGCTTTATGCTGAATTCCCATGCTGTTTGAAAGTTTTTTATTTGCACGGCATGGGGAGAGCTGCTAGAAAAATATAATGTTGGCTTAGAGAGAGCTTTGGTTCGATTCAGTATTTTGATGTACTTTTATTTATAGAATACTGCAGATTACCTACTTATTGCAGAGGGTAGTTAACAGAAAATACTTTTGCTTTTCCAATGCAAAGTATCCAATTATTATTTTCCTGTACCTATTGTGCCATCAGTACCATATCCTATGCTTTCAAAGGTTCTTCATCAATAGACAAAAAACTAGTGGTTCTCCTTTGACTCTCTCAATCACTTCTCATGATTGGGATAGCTCGGCAACAAGAGGGATTTCCCACCTTCACCTACTAGCCAATAGTCCAGAGAAGGCAATCAGTTCCAAAAGAGCTTTTCCACACCATTCATTTCTTTCATCCAGCAATCCAGAGAAGGCCATCAGTATGAAATGACATTCTTTTCATGCTGGGCATTTTCAACCATCACCAGGTCACCAGCATTTAGGGAAGTCCAGAGGCATGAAAAGAACTTTTCCATATCTTTGATTTCTCTCAAAAGGCCCTCTGAATAGGTCTGGAGAAAGCTTTAAGTTAGCTACCTCTAGCACATGCAACAGCAGGTAATGTCATAACACCTTTATGAAAATGAAGACTTTCACAAGTCCACCCTACGAGCCTGATGAAGGCTCCACGAATAAAGACTTTGAAAGAATATTTTTTGATTTCTATCAAAACTGCTAAAAGGAAAACTGCCCTTGAAAAGGCCAAACCCTCCTGAACTACAGAATGACCAACTCAGAGGGTTGCTTCCCAATTATCAGGAAGGCCAGCATAATTCAGCATAATTCAGACCTTCAGTCTCTTGGAGATAGTAAATTTGGAAGACCTAATCCAGAGTGCATGGTAGATTCTTTTGTGTACCCCCTTTCTGAAGAATCTACAAAACTTTGGTAGAAAAATCACTGAACAATACAGCATAATTTAGCATTTTTCCCTACAAAAAGAAATGTCTTCAGTAAATATAGCATAGTATTTTAATGT